TAAGCCTCATGGGCCAAATTTGAGGAGCAATCACCCATAACAGAGTTCAACAACCAAAGTGGGAAATGAGATAACCAAGTACACGTGTTTGGAGGGGAAGTTCCTCGAATGATTTTGGTTGATGGGTGTGTTTGATATAACATAAATTATGTTGTGAAAAAAATGATTTGATTAAATGAAAAAGAATTAAGTACTTTATCTTAGAAAGACTAAAAGTCTATTAAAAAGTTGACAGTGCATTTCAAAAATTAAACAAAATAAATGAAGTAGGCAAATTTTATGGCAATAAAAGAGGTTTACGCTATATTGATGAATGTTTTATTTCTACAACTATCTTTACTAAAACATCACTTAATGTCGTTTTTAAGCATGCTTTAGTTTTGTGACTATATGTCACAATAATATAAATATATGACCATAAAATAAGATTAAAGATACAATAATAGAGATGATATTAAATAGAGACAATAATTAATAATTTTAATAACAAAAAACAAAAAAAAAAACAAGAGATATCAACAGTATAAAACAACTGCAACCCACTAGATAATTCAACTGCTAAAATTCAGTTGATTTAAAGTTTACATTTTCTAAATTCAAATCTAATACCCCACTAAACCTTTGAAAAAGAAAAAACATTACCATCCCACTATAATGACAATACACTACTGGGATGCTTTTATTTTCATAGATATATATAATATAATTGAAATTTTATCTACCTCCCACACCAAATAATCTACAAAAAGAATTATTATGAAGTATATGATTATATGATTATTAAGGTTCATCTGAGCCATCTGCTCCTTCATTTTCTAGCATGTTCATTAGCATGTTTATTTGATCATGCAGCATTGCATTTTCTCTTTCAACCTCTGACCTCTTGCTCTTTTCTTGCACAAGCTGAAGTTGAAGATGTTCTAAGCAGCGAGCGTCCTCGTCGAGCTGCTCGTTCAAACCGTCGATTTCCCGGTCCTGCAATAACAACACCAACCAACTGCCTTTCAGTCGAAAACAATGTGTCAATTAGTATTTTGAATCTGTATCAACGGTTATTAAGTACAGATTTAACAGTAAAACTACAGCACCTTTCTGTTCATTTCCTGAACAGCAATCCTCCGCATGCTCTCGACGACGTCGACATTGACAAGTTTTCGCTTCTTCCCGATGAGCCACCCTCGAGGATAAGCGGTGGCATCGAAGTCAGGCGGAGGGAGTAAGGATTCAGCTGATGGCCTTCTGCCATTGATGTTTTTCACAGGTTCCAAGGGTTCAAACAGGGCCCTCCGACGCTCGGAGAGCTCAGGGGGGACGACCTCGGCCTCGAGGTCCTGAGTTTTGTCCTTGTCATGAGGTTCTTCCTGTTTGTCCCAAATTTTATTAGCAGAATCATGATCTTCAGTTACCTTGTCTAAATTCCTCCCGCTAGCTGTTGGAAAGAAGATACCATTTCTAGTTCCAACCAATTTAGGACAACAAATACAGAAAAAAGCTCAATAAATAAGACTTCATTATATGCCTGTTTAGAGCTAATACTTGCCTGCACACTGGTCGGTATGTGATGAGGTTATCGGGAAGTATAAGAGAGAAATGACTTGACGCTTAAAAGGCAACAGTGAGCTTGACAGGACCAAATTGTGAAAAGTATGAACAAACACCAGAAAAAGGGAAGATTACATTGAAAGCAAAGAAACTTTAATGAGTTTAGCTTACGAGTGAGTGAGTAAGAGAGAGAAACTGTCAACTAAAAACTAGAAAGAGAAGAAAAAAAGGAAGAGTAATTAAGCCAACTCCAAGACAAAGTCACAGGCAATTGAAGTTCTTTCTTCAACTACAATAAATCATCAAATTTACATCATGAAGAGAGATGAAATGCAAGATGGTGACCATGGAATTGGCCCCAAATCATAAAACCTTGATTTTCAAGAAGAAGACAGCAAGAAATGTTTAATGATTGATAGCTGAATGTGGGCCAAAATAAGAAACCTGAAATGAATATATATAGTTGGTGTTGAGTCCCATCATTTGAATACAAACTTGATATTATAGAAAGGCATATATTTATGAATAGGATTCCTAATTTCCAATGAGATTGTAAAACTTATATCTTTTGACCTTTAAAAGATTCACTATATATAGAAAGATATGCATCCTATGATCAATCCTATAATTCATTCCTGATCTAGGCTGAACTATCACTCTTTTAGAGTGAAATTTATTAGAAATGAAAAAAAAAACCAAATAAACCGACTCGATCGGCTTAAACAAGCATTAGTTTCTTTGATATAATGCATCTTAAATCGAAAATTTTCTCCATGAGTTCAATACTAACAATAGTATTTTAAAAAATATTTTTTTAAAATTGACCAAATTAGTTTGGGAGTCCTACGACTAAATATGGAAGTATGAACATCTGAGTTCAAAGAAAAAAGTTATATACATTTATTGCTGATTTATACTAAAGTTGGGCATCTTACCACAGTTTCTTAGTCCTTTGTTTGGACAAAACTAGTATTTGAATAAATCATCAGCTTTCATTATTTTTTAGGAAGAAAACAAGCAACATTATTTACACTGAAACCACAAACATGGGGTAAAATAAAAGCTAATTTGCAAATAAATCATTTTACCCTTTAAAATTGACAATTAAAAAGAAAAGACATTATTCAGAAAATAACTAACAAATAATACCGACACATCACAGGCAGAGTCCATAACTAAAAACAAAGGAATTTTCCCCCCATATAATTCCAAATTAAATAATTTTTTTTTCTTTTAAATTTTGTAAAATAACCAGTCTAGCAATATTTTTATCACGACTTTAACCATATTTAAAATTCAAGAAACTAGAAGTTATTTTTTAATGTAAAAGATCAAATTCTAGTCAATATGTAAATTTTTCTTTTCAAAGAAGTAACCAAAGTAAAGCACGTAAAATTATTATAGAAAATAAACAGCTCTCAAGTATTAATATGAAAAATATATTTCTAGAAACATTACGACGTCGTTTTAAGAAATTTAAAGAGTGCAATTCCTATTGTATTTATTATTTTCCACATATGATGACAATAAAGGCCTTTCGTGTCAAATAAGTGAGAGGAAAGGAAAGATAAAATCCACAAAAAAAAAAAGTCAAATAAATAAATTATAAATGAGCTGAAAAGGCAAATTAATCAGTTTCCAAATAACAATTAAATTAATCATTAATATTATTTTCGAGACCTATAATCTATGTAATTAAGAATAAAAAATAAATAAAAATAATTAGTTTTTCTTTCTTCGGAAAACAGATAACAGAAAGCATGAGGAGGAGATGAACAAACACAATTTAAACGTTTCGTGTACCTTTTCTCACCTCCAATCCATGGCAGTTGGCGAACAGTCGAGTTAATTCGTAAAAAAATAATCAAAAGCAATGGAAGAGCAAAATATGAGGAGTAAGAACAGACGATTCTGGTTAAGGCTGAAATTCTTCAAAATTCATGAGGAAATGCCTTAGATTATGCGATAATTTCAAACCTAGACGGATTTTGTTTACTATCCGAAACAGAGACTCGGAGCAAAATTTCCAGAAATTGAACGGAAGTTCAACCGTAGAACACCGCGGAGAAGTTAATTAGAGAGAGTGAGAGAGAAAAGGAAAGCGCTACTACCTGATCTCCGGCGAGATTTCCAGTGAATTCGAGGAGCCGACGCCGGAGAAAAGCCTTCGAGAATCCTGTCAATCTTGCCGGAATTATCGCGCTCCATTGAAGAAGAATTCGAGGAAGAACTTCACCGAACCGTCAATTCGGAGAATCCTCTCCGAATTTTGGCATAGAGAGAGAGAGAGGAAAATGGAGTCGTGGATTGAGTTTGGTTTTATGGCTTTCTGGTTCGGTGTTTGTTGTGGGAGCAGATAAATTGCAGAACAAAACGACAGCAGAACCATGTGATTGTGATCCGACGGTTCAGATTTGGCGTTGAGGTGGAGGTTTTGATGCCAATTTTTGTCGTCATCTACTTGCTGGGTGTGGGTCCCGCAGTTTCTTTTTCTTATTTATTTTTTTTCCTTTTAAATTGTTTGGACTATTATTTGTTTCCTCACGCCTTCCAATATTTCCTAATTCCGAGAGAATATTCCATCTTATATTATATTTCTAAATTACATTTTCGGCGGATCATTATACTCCAACATAAATGTTAAAGGCAAAATCTTTGTTTAATATATATAACTATAACTATAACATTATTAATTCTTTAGATTACATCAATTTTGACTTACAAAATTAATTTTGAAATTAACCCCTTTCATTAAAACATTTATTTATTATTATTTTTCTTTTTGAGTACCAATGAAACATCTATTAAAGCTTAAAGTAATGTGGGCCCAAGAAAGCCCTAAGTGTGAAGCTGAAAATGTTCTTCTCTCTAAGTCATTGGACCAACGAGCCCAAGCCCAACGATAGAACAGATGATGACAAAATTGAAAATTTGACAGATTGCCTCTCTCTCTTTCATACTAGTGTCGAGTACAGCTAGAGCCAAGGAATTAGACTTCCGACTTCAATAGGAATAGGATCCCTCGCTAAAGTAAGTTCATGTTGGCACCCATGCAAATTTTTTGGCAGTAAAAAGAAAGTTGTATCTGTATTAGGCAGTGAAAAACCCTTTTGAAACTAGTGTTTGGTATCTTATTCTTAAATATTTATTATTTTGTCCATGCTTTTTTTAATTCATGTGGGTTTCTATACTTTTAAAATGTCTCTTTTGATCTTTGTATTTTTTTTATCCATTTTAATTTTTATACTTTAAAAATGTTCATTTTAATTCCTATATTTTTAAAATGTGATATTTTGATGCCTTTATTTTCTTTTGTTCTCATTTTTTCATCACAATTTCAACACAAACACTACATTTAATAAATTTCTTGAATTGTAGTAATAACTTCATATGAAATTATTTCCATTGTGTATAAAATATTCACTTTTCAAGTATAAAGACAAAAATGAATGCCTTAAAAAGACAATAACTAAAATGAACAAAAATTATACATTGATAAAAATGAACATTTTGAAAGTATAGGGACACAAAAATGGACAAAAGCTTGAAGGGACACAACCCAATATTTAAACTTAGTTACTAAAAAAAAAAATTCGCCTTTACTTCATGTTATAAAACATGCAGCCAAGAGCTTAGATTACATACCCTACGTTCAATTAAACATCTTGCAAAGTTCAAATTATTATGACAAATGTCGATCACTTCCTCGCACGTCTTTTATTTATCTTAATACATCAAATCCAATCAGAGTTTAATACTAAACAAATGATGACATATAATCAAAGATTTAAAGACAATATTGAAACAATCAGTTGTACTAAAAAAAAAGGATTGAAACAGTCGATGATTAAAACTAACCTATAAAGAGAGAATCGAGTTACAAGGAGAGGAAAAAAAACTAAAAACTAAAATAAACACTAGTTTGATAACATTGGAGCATTTGATAACATTGGAGCATTGGCTGTGAAAGAATCTTACCTAAAACATAGAAAAATTAGTGCACTTGACATCAATGTTCAAGTGGTAAATTAGCCTAAAATAAATCAAAGTTCTCTACGAAGCCATTTGCCTGCCTATATACAAAGTTAAACCCATCTCAATTTACTCTTCTCAAGGAATTTCTATCGCAGTTCTCTATGTTTTGGACCTAAAAGTTGCAAAATTTTCTGAGACAGAGAAATAAGAGGAGATTAGTGACTGACAAATATGGTTTGCAGAAATCAAGTCTCCCCAACGGCACAAGGAATACAGGGAGGATCTTCAGATTGGTCTTGAGGAGTGATGCGTTCCAAACAGAGGTCATGAAACACGTGGCGACATGGCAGTACAGCCACAGCAGGTAGGATCTTTGGAAGGACAAGTGAGCCTTCTGGTTTGAATGAAAGATCCCTCTTACATAGGAAACATCTCTCTCCACTTAATTCAGGAGTTTGGTCCAAATCTGCAAAGAAAATTAACCATCACCACTTGGCAGTTGACATACAAATATCTCTTACTCACCCAATACAAATGTATATATAACTCTAGGAAGAATTCGTAATAATGGTCCGGGATTACTGTACTCAATTTGTTCACACTATGATTTTGTCTTTACAAAATAATTTTTAAATGTTGGTGGACTCTGTCATTTTCATACGATGTTGACATGAGTCACATGATTACTAGTAGTTGGTAGGTGGAGAATTTTTTTCATATTAACTCTTGTTTCTGTCAAAGTATTCCTATTCATGCCAAAGTTATCATGAAAATCGCTAATGTTCTGTTTTAAGTATTTTCGTGGTTGTTTGAGCATTCCATAGCTTAATTTCTTGAGTTCGGATATTTTGTTTGTGTGATTTCTTGGTTGTTCCTGGTAAATTTTCAATTTAGTATTTAGTAGATTTAATTTCACCACTTATATAAATTTAGGATAAATTATAAGTTTAAGGTTAGACTCAACAGGGTTAAAAATAAATTACTTTTGTACAGACGTGTTGAAAGAAACATTCGTAATACTCCAGTTCGACTGTTCGACATATGCAGGAGGGTTGGAGTATGACCGTTCACGATATATATACATTAGACACGACACAATCACAGAACAGAGACATGTCATGCTTTATGTGAAGAAACTAACTAATATAAGAAAATTTTGTTCCAAGGTAGGAACAAAACCAGCTTCTTTACTGTGTATAAGACATATAACAGAGCTCTCTACTCTCCCTTCTCTTTGTTGTGGTCGCCAAGAAAAGAGTGTCCCCATCCCCTTCCCTCTCTCTCTCTCTTCTCTCTAGCTATGTAAAAACCGCCAGAACTAAAATCTTGTAAACCAAAAAGAAACACACTATCAATACCCAAATAATGACTACTGAAAATCTCAATCCAAACCATTCTTTCCCCCATTCTGTTTCTTTGTCGTTGGCTGCCACACACCTAGATCGATGCTGTGGGTTTCTCTCTCATAAACCTAGTTCTTCATGGTTTATTTGTTTTGTTTTTATGTTATTTTTTAATTTGATTTTGCTTTTTCTTCTAATTGTCCATCTGATTAGTTTATTCTATGCAGGTTTCTCATGTGTTATTAGTCTAGTTTTTAATATAAAATTTAGTCGGTATGAATTTATTTATTTATTTATTTTTAACTTTTGTCGGTTGTCTTTTAATACCTGTCCCAGTATGTCTGAAATCTGGTTGCATCCATCAGGTGTCCAAAACTTAAAATTGGCAACTATGAACAGAACAAAACCAAGACCCTCTAAATCATTTGTCCGACACATATTTGACATCATGTCTGTGTTTGACGCCTATACAGATAATCTATTGAAAATAGAGTTTCTATTCTGCTTTGAATATTCTCTTTCTCTCAAAATGACAAATCTAGTGTTCATGCTACTTGGAATGTGCCATAAAAAGGAATATTATCTCCCACGGACAAAAAATAAAATTCCAATAGAAATAAAAATTTTAAAACAAAAGCTACACACCTAGATAGGTGGATCTTACTTTGTCTTTATTATGAGACAGTAAATTGGAGCTAATGTGTGTACTCAACTTGTTTTTCTTTTTAATTTAAAATTATTGTCTTTGAGTTAACCATATGCAAGTGCGAACGCAAAGCATATGCATAATACTTTCCAGACGAAACTAAACATATGAAGAAATATGGGGAAAAGGGATATGTTGGAAGTACCTTGACATTTTATATAACAGTGTGAGTTCCTTGAGCGTCGGAGAGAACGAACTCGTAGATCTTCAAACTTGGAAGGGAAGGGTGCAAGGTAGTCATTAATGATCGATCGGGAAATCTGCTCCTGCGTTTGGAGATCTGGATCAATTTTGGGCGTCTGAGGTTGAATTGAAACGTGTGAAGACATATGATCAGGCGAGGCAGAGACGGAAAGAACCTGCGAAATTTGGGCATGAAATGACTGTCAGTATTGGTCGTGTTAAATAATATCCCACATAAAAAAGATTAAGGGATCTAATGAAGATAATTGGTTTCTCGACAAATTAGTTTTGAGATCAAACTCCAAAAATATTAAGAGGCCGAAGTTGTGGAAGATGAAAACAGTGGTGGGTTAGAAAGTAACGTAGAAGAAATTGAGCAAGTTCGGTTGGAGAGGGGGGTTACCCTGTGAGGATGTGGAGTGAGACCAGCCCCAGGTTCTCTTGCATTGTGATTTCCTGAAACTTGTTGGGCTTATAGTTATTACTCCAGTCATATAATATGATGAAAATGTGTTAACTAAAGACAAGAAGAGTAATAAAGGAACTAAAAGAGGTACCCGAAGTGGCAGCATTGCCCACGTTTTGGGGAGGCTGAGAAGGGTCAGCAGATTGATGGAGCTCAACTGCAAGCATCAAAGAAACATGTTCAAATTCAAAATTGATAATCATTTAATAAGAATAATGTTTGCTTGTGCAGTATGCTTGGTAAATGAAACTGAAGTATCCATCTGTCTTACATGACCGATCTGGTACAGAGATGGTTGCAAAGATCCCAAGGGAAGGAGAAAAAGTCGAACACTCAGACGAGCAGTTCCTGGTATCAATATAAGATTGATGTTCAGAAGGCTGTTGACTTTGATCCCTTCTAAGTGGACAAGGTTCTAAGTCAGTCGACAAGCTTCGTGAAGATAGTCCAATTTGGCTATTACTAGATGCTGTCCTAGAGGAAGCTGCAAGTTTAACTGCGTTGGGGATATCCTCATTGCTCTGTCCTACTGCAGCATTCAAATCATCTTCATTTCTTGGCGTGGGAAGAGGGTTCTCCTCACCAACTATGATAGATGGTTGGAAGACAAATGATGGGTGCAAACTAAAGTTAATAAAATTACTACATCTTATTCCAACAGAATTCTCAGAAAAGCCCGAGATGTTATCTGCCTTGTTAAGAGCCGTGGTGGCTTTTAGAGTCTCCGAATCAAGCTTTTCAATAGAATGGGGTTGGAATCCACTGCGAATGGCAGTGATATTAAGATCAATCTTTTCCCCACAGCCGGAGGATTGAAAATTATGATTGTTTGTTTCTCCAACTATATGTAGGCCTTCAGCTGCCTGATGTCTCATTGGGACTCTACAAGTACTTGGAACTTCTGGAGTCCTGACATGGAATGGAGCATTTGTCTTACTTTTGGCATTCGTTAAAATGCTGTGAGACCAATTCTGAGAGCTTAGACCCAACCGGGAGCCATCGAACGACCAATCAATATCAGTGTATGATATTGAATCAGAGAAGGATCCAGCGAAGTTTGGATGGGAGAAGGAGACTGGTGCATCCGGAAATTGGGAATGATGGAATCCAGAAGCCGCACTGAACTCTTCATGGAGCCCATTGAAGTTAGAATCAGTTCTCATTATACCGAGGCATCTCAACTCTTCATTCCCATCGTCAGGAATAATAGAATCTGACAGGTTATTTTGTAAATTAAGATTGTCATTTCCCATCGCGTCCATCCTGAGGAAAAATAATCAGTATGACAACTTAAAGGAGAACAATATAGAAAACAGAACATAAAACATCAAGATAAATTTTGAAATAAACAAAACTGAGGTTGTGCAATTGCTAAAATTTGATTAAAGAAAAAAAAAATTGACTACATCAGGAATCAATGTGCAGTTATTATAATTAAACGTTCTATGCATTAATGGTCTTTTGTCTCTTATGTGCTCCAAAAAGGAGATTCGAATGCATGAACGAAAACGAACTCAAAATCGTCACGAAACTATACTAATTAAACACCAAAACCAGCATCCCCCGATCCACTTAATACATGCTAGGCAAAAAATTACAAAATCAAAATCCAAAGCAGCTCTACGTTATCAGTGATTTAGTCGATACGGCTCAAGTAAAACATCAAATAGAGAAGAAAAAAAAATATATCGCGACGCGATCAGAGAATATGAATAAAATGCGGCAAATTCAAATGAACAAACTCAGAAATCCTTAAACACATACACGAATGCGAAACAAAAAAACCAAATCGAAGCATGATCATCGCGCGGGAGAACAAGAGATATAGAGAGAGACTTACGATTATATAATCCGTAGCAATTACAGCAGCTGCAGCTAAAGAGAAAACGATCAAAAAACGGATATAGATCAGAATTAGAAGACTGTAATTACAAGATATTGAGATTGAAAGTGAAGAAGAGGAGAGGTGTTAGCGTTTTTTTTTTCCCTTTTTACCAGAGAGTGATGGAGCAGTGGAACAGAGAGAAAAGTGACGGCGAAGCGGAGATTTGGCGTTAGGGATCGGCGAGAGATTATAAAGGATTCGGTGTGGGCTCCACTTTCACGCATTGCCTTGGCGCGTCTCCCAAAAAATCGTTTATTTATTTATTATTATTTTTTAATAAAACATGTAAGATTTAAAAAAACTTTACAACATATTTGACTTCTCACCCTATTAGTAATTAATATCAATAAAATTATTAAAATAGATAATAATTATTATTAAATATTATAGCAATAAAATTTAATAATATTTTAGATTAATGATAATGACTGTTCCAATAAAAATTATAATTAATATTTTTTAGTTCATGTAATTTTATTTTAATTATTTCGTATTTGTTAATATTACGCCTACTATTATAATACAAATATTTACTATAAATAAAACAATAATTAAATAATTAAAATTTTCATTTTTTATTTATTAAAAATAACAGTACCATACTTTCTAGTTTTATCCACGTGAGATTTTTGTTCCAATTTCAAAATTTTATAGTAATATATAATAATTCTCCTTCTGATTGATTTTTATTCTAATTTCTTATTATGGGTAAGTATCTAAATTTTTGGGCACTTGCAAATATGGTAAAAATATTTAGTAAAATTAATAAAATAGCAATCACATTTAGTTTTTCAAATATAACACTTTAAAAATGTAGGTCCTATTTTAAATTAACAACTTTCCCCAAATGATATACATCTGTAATATATCTGTAATATATGTATAATTTATCTGACTACTGATATATGTATGTAATATACGTATGAGATATTACTGATATGAGTATCTAATATACTTGCAATGTGTATGTTATATACATCTGATATATTATTGATATGAGTGTATGATAATATGAGTATTTGATATATATTAATGATATAAGTGAAAATTTGTGCTATATTTGAAATTTTGAAACAATAAGCCATCTATTAAGCCGTCTAAGTCAAGCCCGTCTAAGCCAGCCTTAGCCAGTGATCTGGGTGACATATTTTGAAATACATATTTTGAAATACAGATTTTTGTTGCCTACTACAATTTCCCTAAATTTTAATTAATTAAGACACTAATTTTAAATTTCAAACACGTTAAAATACATTTATTTTTCTTAAGTTAACTATTAATTTTCCTAAGTTAATAAGAACACCCGGTGACTAAAATTTAATTAAGACCGTAGTTATAAATTTCAAACGTGTCAAAATACATTTACCTTTTCCCAAGCTAATTACTTTTCCTTAGTTAACAAGAAGAGACCAGTTTCCCGCCAAGTTGCGATTTAGGGCAAAAAAATATGTATAAAACCCTACAGAGCTTCCATCCATGCCATTCTAAATTCCTCACTTTCACCCAAAAAAGAAGAAGAGAAAATGAAGAGAAAGTCCACTGAAAATGACGAAATTGTCCCTACTCCGGTCAACCACGGCGTGCGGTGGCAGCGAGGGCGGCTGATCGGAAAAGGAAGCTTCGGGTCGGTTTTCATGGCGTCTTTACGGCGACCCATCTCTAAATTCAGCATTTTTCCTCCGGTGATGGCCGTCAAGTCCGCAGAAGTCTCCGATTCCGAAACCCTACAGAAGGAGAAGCAAAACTACGACAACTTGAAACAATGTGATTCGTTGATCAAATGCTTTGGAGAAGAGATCACCACCGACGAGAATGGCCAGATGATTTATAATCTGCTTCTCGAGTTCGCCACTGCCGGAACCCTAGCCGATCAAATCAAGAACACAGGTAAATTAAAGTAGTGATCATGGGCCAGAGCTCAACCAAAAAAAAAAAAAACATAAAATTTTTCATCTAACCCTAAAATCTTACATGTTAAGAAAAAATTTGACTGTAACCCTAAAATTTAGAACGGAATAAATTTAGGGTTTAATGAAATTTTTTATGGATTTACAGGTAATTTAAAGTAGTGATCATGGGGCGGAGCTAACAATAAAATTTTTCATCTAACCCTAAAAATCTTACATGTTTAGAATGTAATAAATTTTGGGTTTAATTTAGAATGGGAAAAAAACTACATTGGAATGTGAAATTTTGTGTGTCTTTAAGAAAGTTTTTTGATGGGTATTTTCAGGTGGAAAGGGTTTGGAGGAGAAGGAAGTTTGGAGCTACACAAGATCAATAATCAAAGGGCTAATTCACATTCACAAGAACCAATACGTGCACTGCGATTTGAAGCCGGAGAATATTTTGCTGGTGCCGAGGAATTCGGCCAACGGTCGGCGCTGCGTGGCGAAGATCGGCGATTTGGGGCTGGCGAAGAGGACCAGCAAGACAAAGAAAGACCGTTACTTGAGAGGAACGGTGCCGTACATGGCGCCGGAGACATTGCTCTACAGCGTGCAAGAATCGCCGAGTGATATTTGGGCGCTCGGCTGCGTCGTTCTGGAGATGCTCACCGGAAACCGCCCCTGGAGCGGCGGCGGCGGCGGCGACGACACGGAGGAGATTACGAGACGTTTTGGTGAGAAGTACGAGATTCCGATTATTCCGGAGGGAGCGGTGCTGTCGGCGGAGGCGAGGGCGTTTTTGAAGGTGTGTTTTGTGAGGAAGCCGGAGTATAGGTTCACGGCGGAGATGCTGATGTTGCTGCCGTTTTTGGCGGAGGACGAGGAGGAGGAAGAAGAATCTGTGGTGGGTGCTCCAAGATTTGTGGAGAAGGCTAGGAGGTCGAAGAGGCAAAGGATTCCAATTCAAGCTGTGTGAAGTTAATTAACATGGTGGAGTGGAAATTATGGCACAGAAATTATTCAGCTAATTCTTAAAGTTGGCTAAATTTTTTGTTGTTTGATTGTGTGCTCATGTTCTTGAGTTGAGGGCCAAGTTTTTGTAAACCCAAGGAATCTGGATTGTGGGGCTGATGGTGAAAATTGTATCCTCATGATATATATATATATATATATATATATTTTTTTTTTTTTTGTAAGAAAAATGACTTACCTCTCCACTTCTCTTCTTCTTACTTTACTTTTCAGTGGAGTTTAATTCAACAAAATTTAATTAATACTTAGTAAACAATCATTAAATTTTCCACAAATAAGAGAGAAATGCTGAAAATATAAATAACTTTTTTATTTTTTGAAGTTATTCATCGATAATATCTAAGTATTGATCATTTTAATTTTAGTTACCTCAATAAATATTATATCCGATCCGATTGGGGTTCTTTTTGCAAATAAGGCAAATCTTGCTTTATTTTTGGAAACTTGTGAAAAGATGCTTTAGTTTCAACAAGCAAGTATATACTTTTAGATATTTAAAAGTGGGAAAAAAACTATGAATCTACAATTTATAGAAGCAGTAATAGTATCTCAGCCTCTCAGGTCCTATTTAAAGTGTTATGGGGAAAGCTTTTTTAAGGAAGGAAATTGGTGTTCCTCTTCGCCATATAAACTCATAAATGATAAAGAATATTTTTGTTTGGTATAGTAAAAGATCAGTTTTTGATTTTAGTGAGTGAAGTTTTTCCTTTCCAGTTGTCAATAATAAGATTTGAAAGATATTGAAAAGAAAAAACTGAAAAGGTATATTTTTTAGAATTCACCTTTCCCACAAAATAGTGGCTAATTATGTGATTGTGGGGCCCTGCATTTTAGATTTTACTTTTTATTTTATTTTCAACACGATTAATATTTAACATGAAAGAATTTTCAGCATCTATAAAGAATACAAACATTAGATATAGTATACTTAATGATAGTGACCAAAATTTAGTTGCATCAATTCCAACCAAAAGTCTCCGACACATATCTCTCCCATCAAAATGTTGAAATTGTGATTAAATTTTGATTGATTTTCATTCGGACTAATGCATTTTTTCATAGATGAAAAACTAACTACAAGTATTATATATTTCCATGGACTTCTGAACACATCGAATGCAGTATCATCATCGATCAATTTGCGAACAATTCGAGCTATGGACCAAAATTTTTATTATTACTTACAAGAGGCTGTTCTTTTCTGTTCAAAGTGGAAGCTAAAGATCAACTGCCTTTGCAAAGACTTCACATTTTCTTTGAACACGTTTGTAAAAGAGTTCAGCTGTGCCATGGCAAGCATTGGCTGTTAGTTCCAAAAAGAAAGATGGAAGATACCAAAGAGATGGTACAGAAGCTGAGCTGAGACGAGAGCTGATCTGATGGCATCAAGCATGAGTTGCAGTGAAAGACGAGGCTGCAGCGGCATGGTTGGACCACACCGAGACTCGCCAGAACGGCCGCTGCTTCCGCTTCGGCTGGTGACCGACCAGCTCCGACTCCGATCTACGAAGCATTTCCCACATCACCTTCACATCTTCATACCCGCAGGTTTCTACATCATCATGGAGCTTCAAAAGTCCAGCTCCTGTAAGCAGCAAAAATGACACAGTTGCTTAGCTCAAGTTATCAAAAGAGCATTTTCATGATTGCTCGAGCATTTTCAAAACATCTTTTGGGCCACCCATACAACAAATTCAGAAGTAAATGGGCCTGCAGATTTGGGCCCAGCCCATCAAGAAGGACAGGATTGACCTAACTCCACTTCATTTCTCTCTCTCTCTATATATTTTTGGAAAGAATATATATATTGGTTGTGAATTTTGTGGTGCTTGTCAAATTGTCAATTAAAGCGACTTGGGACAATACTAAAAAGAATAATAAAAGTCTAGAGATGGCCACGCCTCTTGTCCTCCTGCTTGTAATAGTAATAGAAGTGCAAAAACAAATCAAATTTGGTCACTAATTTTGGTGGCCGTCATAAGTGTTAAGTGGGATTACTGTTAAGAATCACAACAGGACAATGACAATCAAAGCTGTAATAGAGAAAAAAAAAAGGAATTTTAATCTTCAAAGTGGCTTCAATCTTTCACTGTCTTCTCTACTGAACTGCTAGTGGGAACCTTTTTAGTGCATTATTAAAATGGTGGGAGAGATTCATGGGATAAAATATCTTAATGGGAAAATAAATTTACTTTCAAAGGAGATGTCCATATTTGGTGATAGCTTAAAAATAGATTCACCTATGGCTTGTAAACTTGAAGGAATTTTTCACATAGATTCCTAAAAATTGAAGAAATATTTGATGACCATATTTGGTGATAGTTTTTGGCCATTTAGGATCACTTTGGAGAAAAAGGAATACATGATCAAATGGGATCGTTGTGATTTTCCTACCAAATTATTGAACTGAGGAGGTTGCATAATCACATGGCCATTTATTGCCTTCTAGAACCTCTCTCTCTCTCTCTCTCTCTCTCTCTCTCTCTCTCTCTCTCTCTCTCTCTCTTTTTCCCTATCTCTCTCTCTCTCTCTCAGTCTCATATCGTAGTGGTTGGGATCAAGTGGCTAATGAGTCAATGACCATCGCATACAGATCAAGGTATAATACAACAAATTCAAATTGTTAAAGGTATTTTAAAGAAACAGATTAAGAAATTAGTATTATAAACCTGATGGCTAGCTCCTCCCATATTTTTCGAAATTCTTTCCTCTCATGGCAAATCGAGAACGAAAATCTTATCCCTCAAATCAATATCACAATCTTATGCAGAAAACTGTAGATGACGATGCAAACAAACTCTTCCGCAGTAAACAATTCCAAATGGCGACATGGAGAAAATCGACAGAGTTCAGAGTTCAGAAATTAAAAATCAGAACAGGAGGAAGAAAAGTAAAAAGAGAACGAAATACAGCAATTCCTTCAGTCAGATTAAGTCCATTCGGTCGAGATCATCAGTACATTCGAGCAAAAGTCATAATCAAACTTCGATTTAAAAAAAACTCTAAAATCAATCAAAAGAAGTAGAGTATTAAGAGACTGACCGTTCTTGCGAGCCCTAACGCGAGCGGAAACAGCGAGCCAAACTCGTCGGACGGGGAAAATCATCTTGTGCCAGAGCTCCATAAACCGATCCTTAACCTTCGTCTTCCTCCTGCTCCGCCTCTTCTTCCACTTCCGGTTCCAGAAACCTCCGCCTCCGCCGATTCGAACGGCTGCGGTGCTTAATCCGGCCAGACCTGCCCTCTGATTTCAGTCTCCCCGACTATTGGGTTGCAGAAATGCGATCAGTTCGTTTCGAATTCGCAGAGATTGAGAGAGAAAATTGGAAACAGAGAAACAGAGATGAAAAGTTGAGAGAAAAATTGAAAACGGGAAGCGCCAATTATAGGTGACCAAATGGGCAGTCAGTTATATATCGGAACACGAGGCCACCGACACGTGACCGGTTGCCTACGTAATAAACTCTGACTTAGCAACTTCCTGTATTTATTATAAAGTTTTTATTATATTTTTATTATTATCATTTTTTGGTTATTTACACTCTTTTTTTATTTTTTATTTTTCTAAAATAAACAATTCCGACTTCAAGTTCTATTTCCACACCCTAACTTTTTAACTTTCATTTAATTCCACTCCATTTTTTAGCATATTACAGATTAACAATTATTTTTCTATTAATCAATTTTGTGGGACCCACCTGTGAAAATCGATCGCATGAGAATTCTCATAAAGAAAAATGATTCATGTCACGAATGTTCGAACGATGAGTTGATAGGCGAGTGAGTGACTTGCAAAATAGAGTAAGCATTCTGACACTCAAGTCAGTATTTGTTTATACTATACTCTGAGAATATAGTTTTGCATACCAAAAAATGAGGTGGAGATCTCTATTTATAGATTTGACTATCTTCATAACTTTCGACAGGACTTCAATGACTCTCCAATAAGTTCGAAAATATTTTAAAAGCTTGGTGTATTTAACAATGATGATTGTTCAACATATCATTAATTATCAATTGGAAGGAGTCCTTTATATCTCTATTAATTGATAAAGGAATTGATACATGTCTGTAGGAGTGGTGCCTTTTATTTATAGGTTTAGGATCAACAGGCTGTTATTAGTGCCGGAGAGTAAGTCGGACGTGTTCCAAACTGTGTGTTGGACCTAGGATGTTGGTGGCGGCGCAGAAGGGTTCTCATAGTACATATTTGGCTCAATATATCATCTCGGACAGGTGCGAGGTGACCTGGATTCGGATGCATCCAGGTGAACATCCTCTTGTCCTCCACGTGGTAGGTTTATTTTCACCCCCAAACGCCATGGCAAATATCTCACAATAACTCCAAGTTTTTTTTAATGATATTCACCTTATTTTATGGTAAGGTATTCAATGTATTATCCTTCATTTCATCATTGTCCTTTGCATGCATCACATGAGTCCCGCTGTACCTAACTTTTGTTTCCAATTTTATAATTTGATTAAAAGAATATTGGAATTAATTGCCTACTTAACAAAACTAGTGGAAGTATTTTATAATATATTTGAAGAAATTCTTCTATAATTACTTCATCCACATGTTAAAAGAGTCAACAACTTAATTTTTTTTATTTAAAAATATCAACTTAAATTATTGGCATTATATACTGTAATTTAATTAAGGACTAAATTAGACATTTTAAATTTTTAAAAATTCAAATGAAATAATCTTAAAAGTCATGGAAACTAAAATATAATTTAAACTAAAATTAAAAGATTTAAAATGAAAATATTTTTTATTTTTAGTTTAAAAATTGCAAGAGTGAAAACCGAACAATCTATTTTAGAGATTGTAATATTTGTTTTATCTACTTTTTTTAAGTACAATAAATTAAAGGTATGGAAGTCTGATATTCGGATTTCAACGAAAGAAACAGATGTGAATTATCTCTAAGTTAGGTTCATATTTGATATATATATATATATATATATTCTGCTTGAACTATTTTGGAACTGTGATAAAATGTAAAAGATTAGAATTATAATAAATGAGGCTAAAAATTGGTCAAAGTATGTTGAATAATATTAATTAAAAAAGCAAGCACGTGGTCCGAATAGCTGTGGAACACCTTCGTTAGGTAATTGGTATTTGATTTTTCTGGTGGCTTTATTTTCTAGAAATTGGGAAATGAAAATAAATAATATTATAATTTATATTATTAAACAATATGACAAAGGCTTAAAACGTGTCCGACATCGGCTCTGTAAAGTCCAGAAGCCCGGTGGAATGTTTTCCAAGGGGGGTAGTTTTGACCTTTTGAAAAAATGGGGATTTTTTCCCCCTTTTTTCTGAATATTTTATTCGTGTTAAATTTATTTAAAATCATTTAATTTTTATATTTTAATCTGTAAAAAATAATATTCACAGATCTATTAAGTGTCGGCAAACTTAATGGGACACGTGGCGGACTGAAGATGGCTTATTGCGGCCACTCATCGAGTGACACGTAGCACTATCATTGGAAGCTTTCGTTTGTTCGTTCCTGTAAAGAAAATTTCGAAATGGTGGTACAAGAAATTTCTAAAAAGAGAAAAAACCATGACACTGAACGAAGAAGTACAGTGATTTTGAATACTGTATTGTGAGAAATTTTATAAGTTAAAACTAAATATCATTAGCAATCTTGATTCCACCTAAATATAATTTAATTAATAAAAATATATTTAACTTATAAATAGTAGAGCCAACGTGAATATAGCTCATTGATTAAAACATCTTGCTCATTCCTTAAGGGTAAGAAGTTGAATCACCTGTATTAAAATGAAAAAAAAAACCCCTTCTAAGTGAGAGTTTATAATTCCTCATCTACATAGTTGAATTGTCATATTTTATATATAAAAGATTAGATGTATCATTTGGTTCTTAATGTCAACCTAAACCCTATGAACTTTTAATTAGATTAGTTTACTCCTAAAAAAAAAAATGCAAACCATTAGAAAAGACACTAGGTTTATATTTATTGATGGTTGCAATTTGGTTTGAGAAAATAAATTTCAGTTACTATTCTGGTAGCTTTCAACTTTGATTTATTTTAGTTCCTATGCTCAATGTCCATTTTGATCTATATACTTTTAAAAAATGATCATTTTGATTCTTCATTTTCATTTTCATCTCATTTCTTTCAATCACAATTTTAATGACATCTTACTCACTAAATTTCTTAAAACGTAGTCATAAATTTGTATTAAAGTGTTTTCAAAATTTAGTTAAATTTTTTTACAAATATAGATCAAATTGGTCACTTTTTAAAGTAAAGTATTCAAAATAAAAATTTTGAATGTACAATAACCAAAATGAATAACGAATCAAGAATCAAAATAGTATTTAAACTAACCATTATGGATTGACTCATTAGTCCAAAGAGTCCAAGGTAAATCAAAAAGATTTAGAAACCCCATAATGACTGCCTACCTAACAATCAAAATTTACTATTTGTTTCACTGGTGTCTCGTGAGATTAGTCGATGTGCATCCAAGCGGACTCGGACCCTCACAAATATAAAAAAGAAAAATAGTACTTAAACTAAAAAGTAATACATAAAACATAAATCGAAACTTATAGCGACAATTATATGCTTGAATTAAGTTTCATTGATTAATTTTTATTTCGAAGAAATAATTTAATAAAGAAATTATCAAGCTGACAAAGAAATAGGAATAAGATTAATTGAATTGATGCTGCCTACATTATGAGCCATGGAATGTGAAATAGTTGGAATTTCAGTTTCCAAAGCATAAAATATAATTGAAAGGAAAAAAAAAATCGTTTGAAATATAATAATGTATAATATTCAGGATTAAAGGGGAGTTTGTTACTCAGTCAAGATCAAGAGAAGTGTCGGTGTTTGTTTAAGACATTTAAACAGTACACGATTATTCTTTCATAATTTTCTAACCTATAAATCAAAATATCTGATTTCAGATTTTTTTTTTATTTTTTAAAAAAGGGATTCAGCAATTAATGTCGTGCGAACTTCGTCAACTCCAACCAAAGAAAGAAAGATTTTGTAGGTAAAGCCACTTTTCATTCAATCTTTTTTTTTCTTCTTTTTTTTTTTATATGCTTTATTTATTTCATTTATTATTATTTTTTTAGGGCTGGAAAGTGGGAAACTCGGCCGCCGAAGCAATCTAATCTCACAGACCGACTTTGTTTCACTCATGGTCAAAATAAAACATATTCTTAATCTTAGTTGGTGTCATCCAACTTTCAAAACTTTAGCTATTTAATCTTAAAAATTATTTTTTATTGTTTTTAAATCTAAGCATTGTTTGTGAAATTCTTATTATTATTGGTATATCTTCACTTATTTCTTGAAACAAATTATAAAATATAATACATCGAAAAGAAAATCCACTTTGAAATTACTTTTTTAATCCATGTCGGTTCCATTTTTTATACTTCAATTTATAAATCACAATGAATATTGTCGTTAATGATGGCAAGAAAAATATCAACCGTGTTAGCGACAAGTTCACACTAATGTCACATTCGTACCAGAACTATGTTAGAGTACCATATCAATAATTTGTGACATTTTACACCATTATTTCATATTATTGTTAACTTAAGCATAATTCAACTAGTTAAAATCTATATTATTGACCAAAATGTTAAAAGTTCGAATTCCCACCCCAACACGTCGAACTCAAAAGAGAAGAACAACAAATACCGTTGAGACAAAGAAATTGAAGGAAAATCAAAGGGGCAAAACTAAGATTTTGAAAATGTAAAGGAGGAAATTGAGAAAAGAATATGAAGAAAAAGAAGATATAGTTTAACTTTTAAAAAGAATAAAGATGAGAGATGCTAAAGGCATAGAGAGGGAAAATGATAGATATTTTCTACCTTGGTTCACTCTTAACCACCAAGATAAAAAGATGTTGAATCTACGTGGACCGACACTGAGGATGTCCCATCTTCGTAAAATTTGATAAATTTCCCACAATTATCATCTAACAAATTTGTCCATTACTCTAATCAAGGGTCAACAAGGCATTGAAACCGACGACTTTAATGGACTACTCAATGATTAAAGCCTGAATAGATGGGAAAAAATGGCTTCTGAATGTGACCCAATTTGAACAAAAAGGACATGTAGGGGCTAGAATTAGGATTAGCCTTCCTAAATTACCAACGATACGAAATCCAAATGGATCTTTCAGAGAGGCCTTAGTCGTCTTCCATTTGGGTTTCTAAGGACAGCCCTCCCACCATTTTAAGCTAGTGGAATGCAACTTCGTGCATCGTAAAATCATTGCCCAATCAGACTTTCAAACCAAGGGCATAGGGCAGGCCATATCTCCCATCCAATCTATTCTGATTCTACTCAATTATGGCTGATTTTAGAAGATTGAGGGCAGGCTCCAAACCAATAATATCTATCGCCGTACATCTCGTAGAATATAGATAAATATGAATCCAATCAAATTTAATATTAGGAAACAATAGATCTCTCCACGTTTCTACAATGGTATGATATTATCAACTTTGGACATGAGTGCTTATAGTTTTGCTTTTAGATTCCCCTAAGAAACTTCATACTAATGGAGATGTTGTCTCTCACATATATATTTATGATTCTCTTTTAATCTAGCCAACATGTGACTTTCACCGCATTCTCAACATTTAACTATACATCAAAAAGTTAAAAGATATTATCCAACTCTAGATGTTTTTGTTGATACTTTTTTATTTAGTATGTGTACGATCATCTTTTTTTCAATAACTTATTTAGGAAGGGAATATTGAAAGGATATCCCACTTTTGATGTCTACCAATGGTTTGGAAGGGTAAGGAATGCAAATTTGTCAAAATGGCAACAATTTTCTACTATTTTGAGGCTCTTTATTTTCTGTCAATTCATTCAAAAATTACTAGGGTGTATTTTCTTTAGTTCAACATAGGGTAGGAATTTGAATATCCGATCTTTTGTCTTAACCAATTAAGCTATGCTCAAACTGATAATAAGGCTAGATTTGTACGGTATGGGATTAGAAAACCTCAATAAGTTCAAGCTTGTGTTTAACGTGTGCGATTGAGGTTTTTACTAAAATTTAATGTTCTTTATTTTATTTTTTGCCCAATCATCTAAGAATTAGGAGAACATTTGCTCGATAGTTTTAGTGAGCCTCATGTAGCTAGAGCTTGAAATTATAACTTTGTGCAACTCGTGCTTAGATTTTAGGAAGAAATGGGTTAAGAAATTTTAGTTCGTGTAATTCATGCTTAATTTGAGAGTTTATGGCTTACGGAAGAGAGTAATTTGAGAGGTGGATTTCAGAAATCTAAACTAATATGGCCTAGTATAAACAAACTCCTACATGCTAAACTTCCATAACCTTTGACTATATAAATCCAAACTACGAGTCAAATCATCTTTCCAGAATTGGGTAAAGCCAGAACGAGAGAGTTGAGGGGTTTTGAAATAAAGAAAAGAGGTAATTAAGTATTCAATTCAAACACTTAAAGATATGCCATAAATAATTTAAGTTAAAAAATTTAAATAAGTGTAAATGAAAAGTGATGTGTACCTTTGCGGTGCAGAGTCTTCATATTACTGGTTCTACTTCTACAAAATATCTAATGAACATCCAATCAGTAGCATAGATTTGTGTACCTTCACTGTTCCTACATATGAAACAAATAAGAAGGGAAAAAAACTGTTGACTAAGTGAAATATTTCAGAAGATATGAGGATAGACTACAGAGATGTCGGATCCCAAAATTGTTGGTACACAATTTTTTCAAAATTTTCTGTGCTGTGATAACTGAGAAATTGAATAATGCCAGCATAATTTTGAATGCCCAAAAAGTAGCCGCACATCCGATGTTATCAAGCACAAAGTAAAGGCACTGAAGGTAGTGGACTTTTTAAGTCATGGGGAATGCCAAGCCAATCGCCAACCAATATGGGCATCTTTCAGCACTAAACATCTAATCAATTTCTTCATGATCAAAAAGAAAACAATAGAACGCTAGTTGTAAGAAAAACAAACATACTTTTGCATCATCATGACTCGATTGCAACGCTCTACTGATATTCAATCTATTAAAATATTGGAAGTGACTCAAAGTGCATGCTTAACTTTGAACTCTGAAGTTCAAATACAAGAGTCGCACAGGATTTATATATAAAACCCCGTTGTGCTCCCCCAGACCTAGGGGCACTCATGCATGCCCCATGGTCAGACCCAGGAGCCATCAAAGATTTTTGGTATTAAGTTCATCTGAAGGTTCGAACTTGAGACTTTTAAGCCGGTATGATCAAGAGACCCCAAGTCCTTGCCAACGGGACCGCCTCTCGGAGGCTCAGCATTCTAACAAAATTTATTTCTACCTGTTAAAAAATAGATTACCTGCCATCTTGCATTGAACTCACTTGATGTTGAAGAGTCCACTAATCAGAAAGGTTACCCTATTTCGTATACGATATCCAACGAGGCAATCAGTCAGAAGGATGTTTTTTGAAGTAATAATAATATCAACAAAATGAGATCAAAATATTATAATGACAAGATGAACAGGTAAGTTTCGAGACAAATCATCCAAAGGGCCGGCTGAATATGACAGTGGATAATAAAGTTTCACTCTGACTAACGGATCTATTGACATAACAAACTATAAAGGTCGTAGTCGTGTGAATATAACACTAATTTGCAATAATGAACAATGTGAAGCGTAAATGCTTGGTTCTAATGTGATCCCAAAAGAAAACAGAACAAATAACAAATTCTGTGAAAAAAAAAAATACATGTATTGGCATTTGCTTAAAAAGTGATATGAACAGATATCACAAACAAATTTAGGTCGCTATCTCACATTTTGGGCTAGTCGTCCATGTTCTTCATGTATTCTTTTGAAAGTTTAGTCTCCATGATCAATTGCTGTTCTTTAACAAGAGAATAGCCTGCTTCAAGCAATGCCTCCATTGTTTGCTGCTCAACCAAACAAAAAAGTCACTCCAAGTGAACTTACTTTAAGTTTACATATTCAGAACATAGACACGAAAGTAGTGAATAACATACTTCACTTCGCTCTGCAATAAATAATAAAGAAAAGAGCATGAAAGACTATATACAACTTTCAACGAAAGTCGTGAGTTCTGTTCCTTCAACTTTTCGTAAATGCAGACAATATACTGCCCGACAAAATGTGGTTTCTCCAGAAGACTAATAGGAAAGATTCATTGTGGAACTCCAAATTTTAGATGATAAATTAACATATATACTTCCTAAATACTCCATATGTCTGAGACATACAACTAGTCATTACTAAAGATTCAGGGATAAACAGTTGGAATGCCATAAATAAGGTGAATAATGATCACGCAGGTCAACCAAGGATACAGATCAGCTGTGAATTATCATGCAAGACTTGTTTAGAGAGCTTTATGACTCACTTAAATGTGATATTAAGTTTTATCTATTCTAGTTCTAGCATACTGAATTATAAATAAACAATTCATGAATCAACATGTGAATGTGCAAAGCACGAATCTGAACATTTTATAGATTGACCACCTCTGGTGGTGTGAATGTAGGAAGCTTTTCATTCTTCCTTCTCTTAAGCAGCTTATCTCCCAGCTTTTCCACGCCTCCAATATCATCAACCCACTGAAATGAAAAAAGGGAGTTCGATCAAAGGATTAATTTACACACATTAATTGTAGGAAAAAAAAGAAGAAAAAACCTTCATTTATGACATGCTATTAATTATGCTTTTCAAATAAATGGAATGGTTCCTATCATCTTCATTCCATACATACTTCGGAAGAAACATTAATATTATTTATCAAGGTCTTACAGATGTCAATGAAAGTGTTATACACCTTAGATACTGCTGCATCATATGTCCGTGACCTCAGAGCTCCATAAAAGTCCAAAGCTGTGAAAGGAGGAAAGAAGAGCAATTTCTAAATGCAAAATTATAATGACACATTCAAATTAAGTTATATTTCACTCAAAAAGGAGTCGATTTCCACACACTTGTTCTTTAAACATGACATGAAAAAGGAACCTACCTTGATTAGGAAAAGTATTTACAATGTCAATGACCTGAGACCTTGATATGCCATCTTTCTCATACATTCTATGAACAATATTCACGATATCTTCACGGTTAGGTTGCCTGTTACCAAACAACATTTGAGAGAAGAGTGCCTTAGCTTTAATACTATTTATGACTTGAAAGAAAAAAGTGCGAGAATCACAAGTATAAAAATGTAGCTCATCCATTTGGATCCAAATATGATCACAGAGCTAGATCTGGAGAAACTAGTACAATTTATTAAAACATCTTCAGGAAGTCAACAGCACATCAATTCTTGTACCATCAATTTCATACCAGTAGAATTTCTCCATCCTGCCATCACGAATTAAGGGAGCATAAATAGTTGAAAAATCATTTCCTGTAAGAATGATTGGAATTCTGTTCGTAATATCTGATTCTCGCCAATCTTGTCCAATGCTCACTCTGGTAGGATTGTCAGCAAGATTCATCAGAGTTCCAGCAGCAATTTGGTTGTTGACTGTCACCTGTGTATTGCCTAGATAAGAACAAAATATAAACATATGTGTTATATATGATTGAATAATCATTTTAACGCACAATACAATAAATTTTAACTCCAAATGTCAATTTGTATTATCTAAGGGGTCACAGATGATGCATTCACATCATTTTTATTATTACTTATCAAATTTTTTATGTTCAGGAGCAAGTACATAGAATCTTACCAAATCTACCAATGCCAGCATCAATATCATTGATCATCAAACAACTCAATTTCCCCTGCAGTGGTAAAAAAAAAGTCCCCAGGTCATACGTGAATTATTTCTGAATGCATTGAAGTTAATTTTAGAATAACTATGAAAAAACACTAAAAGGTTTTTGGATCAAGCTTAAGCATGACCAACTAAGTACAGAGTTGTTCAAGGTGCACCTGAGAGGCATGTGCATATACCTTATGGCCAGTGAGAGCAACAAGCATGTGTCTTATTATGATTTTCAATCATGAAGCATCTTTTATATATTCATCTACTAATTAAGCATCGTCTTGCACTTTGCACCTCATGCCATAATATATTTTAAAAGAAAAAAGGGACCCAGAGGAAATCATAAATAATATTAACAGGAAAAGTAATAAATGCAAAATAAACATAATTTTACAAGAACACCAAATCATTGCACATTAACTTTTAAGAGAAACCATATGAAAAGTAAACTGATCTTTCAGATATGTAAAGGTAAGACCAAAATGATGGAGTAGACCACAAAATGACCAGTGATTTTTGACACTTAAAATACACGTCTAAATTAAAATTTCAGATTTGCAAGATCAAATGAGGTAACTAATGTTACAGAAAAGGAAACTGGCACGTATGAGAAAGTTCAATCAAATTCAAAGCTGTGTTAAATCACAAGAAGCTGCTTAAAATAATAGACAACTCATCAGAACTACTTTCTAGACTTCATCGCTACCTGTTACTGAGGACATAAAGTAATAGTAGACTCAAGAAAGCTACTTTCTAGACTTCATCTTCCTTCGCTAATGTTGTCTATACAATTCAAGGTTTTTCACAGGGCACTTACAGTCAAATCATTAAATATATTCTACAACAGACGATCTATAATGATAACACTTTGGCACTGAAGAATAAGGGTGTTTTATATGAAAATATGGAACATTGTGCACATAAAGTTGCACGAAGCAACATTTAAGCCAAGACATACATATATCTAGAATGTAAGTGGTAAAGCTTCTAACTTGATTCTGGATCACTTGAGAAGCAGTTCTATAGCGTTCACGTATCAGTTTTCCTGGCTCACCTGTTGATGAAAATCACAATTTAACATGGCATTCCAATTTCCACCCCAATATCGGAATACAAAATATATGGACTTGTCCATACATAGAACCAGATTTCTCACTTAAGGAAATGGCGTACAAATTTGCAATGAATAACTGCATGAGTTTGACCTATTGATGTATGCTTTACTCAAAGAACGACTACAATTAAGTTACAATTGAGAGAATATTAGTCCGTAAAATTACGTTTTTCTTAGCTAATTTACAAAATAATATCCAGATTAAGCTAATTAAAGAATATGGAATGCTTTAAATCCACCATCAAATTAAGGACGCACAAGTTAAAATAAGTCATCCCAGGTCCCTATCTTACCAGCCCTTTCAGATTCTAATTCTCCAGCAGACATTATAACGGGTTCCACTCCCATGGTCTGGAATATAAGTTCAGTCTGAAATGACTTTCCTTGACCCTTTCCTCCCCAAATACCTGTGAAACAAAATTCTTTTATTTCCAACTATGCAGTCATCTTTTATGGAAAAATGTGGAAGTAATGAAGATAGAATTCATTAAATCTAATAGATAAATCATAAAATAATTTTTTTTTAGAATAGGTAAAAGGAGAGACGCGTGTTCACATCACCGGAGTTATACAAATTCTTTGATAATGTTTTAGCACTATCATGAAGCTACACATGTCAAGATTGATTAGGACAATATTCCATCCTAAAAAGAGGAAACCTGATGAAGATTCAACGCAATGGAACAGACTCCCATTGACACATAAATTGATGAACTTTTCACGAATAGGTTTTTAACATCATGTTCTATTAATTTGACTATCAAAGAATTTGTATAGAAACTGGTAAAATAAATTAATACACACCTAGGATGAGAGGAACTTTGATATTGAGAAGGTGAGCTATGAAGTTCTTCACAATGTGGCATACTGCATCAACAACACAGACTATGTTAACGCAGGTTAAACTTAACTGGTACTTGTTTGTACTCATTTCATGAAAGCAGGTAGAGTCTTCCTGCAAAACTCCTTCGTCTTAAATTCCTAAAGAGAAGCCCTACCAACATATCTTCATGCTGCATTTCTCTTCCTAAAGAGAAGGACATCCATGAGACTGCCTAACCAGTTAGATTACAACCAAAATATTAAGCTTACAATCAGCAGAAAAATGCTAATTACATCTATAGGCGGAGTTCAAAAACATTACAACAAAACACTATCAAAGACAGAAAGAGTTTAAACAATCTGATGGCAAATATGTAGCATATAATATGAAATAATGACTTATCCAACAATGGGGATTTTTGTTGATTTTGTGGCCAGATCAATTGTTATAGAAGCTGTAGTTGATGAAACTGCTTAGAAGGATCTACTTTTCTAAAATCTCAAAATTATATATCACAAATTAAGATCTGGGTTTCAACTAGTGATAATTACCTGTTGTTCTCCAGGTCCTACAAATCATACAACATCAAATAGTAATGGTAATGGGGTATATAGAAATGTCAGGGATTCCAGGCTTGTGTAAACACACTTTACATCGATGATGTGGGTTACTATTAGTGCTTAGTACAGGAAGACACAAGACTGAACAAATTTTATATGCATAAATCGTTGAAATTGAAAATTCCAGTTTGATTGGTTTTATCTAACTAATTTTTTAGACTTAAATATGAACTTACATCTTATAGCAATTGATAACTGTTCGGATTTAAAAATCATGCAACAAATGAAGTTGACTACATCACATATATTTTGAAGTCTCTTACTTCTTCAAACGTAATTCATCATATGTCGTTTATCAACACCAAGTTTCTATGAACTTACCAACTTTATCCTGTCAAAAGAAAAAATCAATGAAACAAGTGTAAGAAGACAGATTATTGCAGAGATGATCATTCTCAAATTATAACACAAAATATATCAGAAACATAAAAATAAATAAAAACGTAAAAAGGCTGAATGCTACTGACATATGACACGTGGACCATAACCCTGCGCATACTTCTTGAAAAGCAACAAAAGAGATTAGAAATAACAAATAGAAAAGATTTTGGAAAAAAAACAACAAAAAGAAAATGCAGCGATTTGCCCAAGGTGGAAACGTCCACATTTCTACCATAATAATTCTGTTGTCATCGTTTCAATTATTTCGATTCCAAGAATAGGAATTAAATGTTTCAAAATCATGGAGCGCACAATCTGTCAAAGTTGGTTGCAGTTATAGAAAATATAATTCAACTAAACAATAATGAAGACAGAGTTGGAAAGGACGTTTCTACTCGAATTGTAATGTTAAAGTCATCAGGCACATTTCGATTCCAAGTACTGGGATAAATGATTCAAAATCAATGAGCACGAAATCGGTCGACGTTGCAGTTACAGAAAATATAAATTCAATTGAACAACAATGAAGAAACAAGAAAAATAATCAATAACTAAAAAAAACTGAGGCGGAAATTACCATGAAAACAGGAGCGATGTAATAGTCTCCTTGAAGGTACTCAAACGATCTTGTGACCTTATGGCGGTAATCAAACACAATGTCCGCTACAAAACAAAATTCAACACACAAAAAAAACACTAATAAAACTGAAAGCAAAACCACAAATAGACAAATAAAGAACACAGATAAATCGGACACTTACAGTCTCTGCCGAGGAAGTTGCCGGCGAAAAGGTCGTCGATAACGCCAGCTCTAGCTCCGACGGCGATGTTCATGTTATCTGCTTCATTGCCAAGCCTATAGAGATAGTCCCGGCCCTCGGAGTCCTTGGCTTCCCAGGAAGACTGCTCCGACAGTCTCTTCAGCCTCTCCGACGGCTCGCCGTCGCCGCCGCCGCTGGTTTCACCAGGAACATCCTTCGAAGATCGAATGGCGAAGGAACGAATTCGGATTTCGCGCGCGATTGTTGAATTTTTGTACTGAAAGAGTGAGGGAAGGGAGAGACCGGATATAGAGATTGCCATTTTTGCTCCAACAGGAAGGCGAATTCCGCATTTCCGGATTTAAATATAAATATGATATTTCTTTCAAGTTAAATTAATATATGGATTCGGTTTATGTGGTTTTGGCCGTTTTGTTGAGGCGGGGTGTCTGTTTGGACATCGGATTTCATTAAACGCCATGGTAATAGCAGGAGAATTCCATGGGACTCATTATCAAATTATTTAATATTAATTTTTAAATTGAAGAAGGCTAATAAAATAACAACTTAATCTCAAAACTTTAGTTTATGATGATTTAGGCTTTATAGTTTCAATAAACTTTAGTGAATAACGATTTAGTCCATGTGGTTCAGATGATTAAGATGATGGTTAATTGGCTAACGTAAATTTTTATTTTAGATTGTTTTAGTCCTATATGACATTTTTATTTTAATCACCTAACTATTATTCTCATTTCTTTTCTATGTTCATTCTAGATTTGAAAGTTTCAAATCTAAAAATGGAAAGTTAATATCCAATTTGAGATGTAATATTCTAAATTTCTTACAAATGTTCCTTTCATATATATAATGTTATAATCTCAACAAAAAAAAAAAGTATCAATTTATTTTCTCGAGTCATTGTTGACGAAACTAGAAAATAATTTTTTTAGCAGAAAGATATTCAGTCTAAAATAAGAGTTTTCTTTTAAAAATGTATTAACAAATATTTCATCACACGTATTCTTTGGTATTTTAAGTATTCTTATTACATTATTCATCGTCTGCCAGCACATCACTCAAACCTACTTCTGTTTTTTCCAATAAGTCGAAGATTAGATTAGTACACACTTCTTGATGTAATATTCTTGAAGTATAAAATAATAATAATAATAATAATAATAAACAATTTAAATATGCCACATGTTTAAAAGGTAAACCGAAAGAGAGGAGAAGATATCATTTACAACAAAAAATTTGTCCATCATAATTCCCTTCACCATTTCAAAACAATTGAATTGAACTGTGTAGCAAATATTCAACCCAAGCTTGAATATTTCCTATTGTCTTCTTACCTCATATTTCTAGAAAATATGAGCCAAAAGAAACATCCTGAATAAAAATAAATTAAAAAAAAAAAGGTGCAGTGTAAATTTTTTTTTGGCTGAGTGGGTCAATTGGGTTGGCGGCACCCACCATGGTTGTGAGACCACTGTGATCCACAGGCATAACAAAACTCGAATTTACACCTACAACAATTTCATGAACCATACAAAATAAAGCATACATTATAATAATATTTAACTCTTAAAATATGGTATATAAACATTCATTTAATATGGACATTCAAATTTCGGTTGCATATTAAAAAGACTAATCGAGTTGAAGCATATAAATTATATGATCTATCCCGATGCGGAAATCTAAACATCAAAWTTTAACATAAGACCCAATGCATAACCTAATGTATAAAATATGGTAAAATACACCTCTCATCGACTTCACTTTTGTTTGATTTGAATTTCAACTTTCAAAGATGATATCAAGGTTTGACCCAAAGTTTATTCGTTTTTGTTATTAATTGAGGTTTTCTATTTTTTTAAATATATATATAAATTATAGATCCACCTCTACCCACACGTTATATATTCTTTTAAAACGAAAATCCTTTTCAACATCAATTTGAATCAATTCAGTACAAAATTATAAGTTCAGATCCTTAAAAAATCATGATTTTATCAAGTTGAATCAAATAAGTCCCAAATTTTCATTTTCTTGGTAGGTCTTAGTGAACAATAAACACAAAATTGAAGATTTTCATCCCAACCTACAAAGAAAACTTGGAACTAAGACGGAAGAAACTAAGTGATGATTCGAATGAGCCGAGCCTCAGGCTCAATCCAAAATGGCTAGGCATGACCCAAGGGGCAACCCTGGGCCAAGCCTCAAACCGTGCCCGGCTTACCCCGAGTCTAGGTCTCCAACCGAAATTTGCCAAACACTCTCGATTTTGGAAGTTCCAAAATATGAACCGAAGAGTATCTAGAAACAAACTATAATCTAAATCAAGCATGAGAGTATGTTTGGCTGGGCTAGTATCCTATCTTAAATATTTAATAGCTATGTTTCTAAATATGATTCAAAGGGGAAAGAAGCAGAAGAAAATCATGATGAAAATGAGAATGCAAAATCAGAGAAAGAAAGGAACCTGCAAGTGATATGTAAGCAACCATAAGTCTTTTCGACGAAGAACTTGCAGCGAGGGCATCTCATCCACTCCATTTTACGGGCCATATCCTTCAACAACGCGTCATCATCCTCTCTCCCTCTCTTCTTTGATTTTTTCTGTCTCTGATATTCCTCGCACGTGACTCTCGCGTGCCACGGGACCCGGCACTTGGCGCAGAACAGCCTGTGGCAAATCGGGCACTCGCTCTCCAATATATCTGCCGACCGCCCCTTCTCAAGATTCACCATCGCCGCCGAGCAGTCCTTGAAAGGGCACATCACTTTTTCTGCTTCCACAAACAGCGCTTCGCAAAGCGCTCTATCCCACTTCTCCGCCACCCTTTTCGGTAGCATTCCCCTGCAAATTCGAAATGAAAAAACAAAACGTCCACTTTCCATGATTATGAAATCACTTAAATGAATCACATTAATTTTATTATTATTATTACTATTTTTTTTAGAGGAATTCAAATTCTGTTAAATTACAACTTTGGTCACCATCATTTTAAAAACTTCAAATCTAAAAACTATTTTGATCTTTCATTTCTCTATTTTTATCTCAAATCCAAACCCTAGCAGATGACAAAACACGAACTCATTACCATGTGTACACATTCCCGGATTAGAAAATTGTTAAACAAAATTGAAAATCAAAATCAACCTACAGTATACAATAGAATGAAAACACTATTGAACTTCTTGATTTTCTTTTCATTTCTTGAATTTAAAATCACGATTTCCACTCAAAATCTTCCCAACCAAACAGAAACAAGGAAGTTGAGAAAGATTTCGTTACCAGCAGGTCTCGAACTCTACGAATCTTGAGCAGTCCAAGCTAGGGCAAGAAACGCGCGAAGATCCGCCGTTGATCTTCGCGGCGACATGTTTAATCACGCATTTGCGGCAGAAGGAGTGAAGACAGGCCTCGATTGTAAACATGTTGTCGATTGCTTTTCTCTCTAAACAAATCTCGCACAGTTGCCGAGACGATCGACTGCTATTTTTGGATTTTCGCGATGGATTTTCGGGCGGTACGGTTAACGGAGTAGACGACAAACCGACGGAGGATGCGGTAGACGACATGTCGTTTTTACTGTCTACGGCGGAGCGGAGAGGCTATTAGTGATCAGAGGGAGTGTAATCACATTAGCGCCTAGAAGAGAAAATCAGAGGAAGGCAAACGAAGAATCGGTTGCCATTTTGAAAAAAGAAACCACTCTGATTTTCTCAAATTGGGCGGAAATAAGGGTGGGGGAAAAAATGAGCGGTAATTTGGCTAAATGCACTTAATGATCTTTAATATTTGTCAAAAATTTAAAACATATGGCAAAATGCCTCAGGCGTTAAACCGGGTTTTGCCGGTGAAAATACGAAGATCTCAATTTAAATCTCGATAAAATGTTGATATCAATGATATTTTTTAAAAAAATTATAAAAATAAAAGAATATATAAATTAACAAATAAATATTTCACCATTAAAAATGATTAATATCAATATTTGCCTAGGTTAATAACATTTTATTGATATGTTTCATATTTTATATAGAAACGTCGATTTACTCCTTGTGTCGATGGCGAACTCATAGATATATAGAAATATTTACGAATCTTTGATACCATGGTATTAAAATATTTATGTCCCTCATCTAGTCCCTCTTCCTCTCTCTCCTTTTATCAGTTTTTTTTTTAATTACATATTGTATTAACAGTTTTTTTAATAGGAATAAAATTTTGGTTTTTTTAACTATTTTTCTTTTTCTTTTTTACATTTTTATTAGTTGAGGTTTTGTTTTGTAATTCTTTTATTCTACGTGTTGTAGTATGAAATTTGTTTACTTTCATTTATTTTAATAGCTATTTATTTTATCAGGAGATTTTTTTAATATATAAATTAAGGATGTAGGATGATGTGGTAACGAAGTAACGTGTTAAGAAATAAGATAAATGGAAAAAGGAGGAAAAGTTAGTTTCGCATTTAAGTTATAATTATAATAAATATATTGATTATTTTAATTTAGATTCGAAATAATTCGAGAAAATATATTTTTTAATATTTGAACAGAAACATTTACGATCTTTTAAATTTCATTTGCAAGTTTTTATTTGTTAGATTGATTTAATTAAATGGTTAATTTGTATATGTTTATTACTACAAAACTACGAGGGCATAACAATCAAATGTCATACCCTATTTTCAATTATAGTTGATATCCAAATAATAAATTTTAACTTCAATAATAAGAAATAGAAGCGTAAATAATGACACATCTACATCTACCAAATATGGATTCTCAAAAAAGAATTTCCCAAAATTATAGCTAAAAGGTTTTGGGCTTTTGAAGGTGGGCCGAAACCAGTTTCAGCTATTCAATTAATGGGCCGGAAATTTTCGGAGATTCAGAAACAATGGAATCACAGCATTTATTATCAACAATAAAATATCAAGCGGAAAACTTCTTTTTTTTTTCCATGACTACAATAATATAGGAATATGAGAGTCGAACTTCCGACTTTGAAGAAAATGGGTACACGTCAATTATTGTTGACTTATGTTCATGTTGGTAAAAAAGAAAAAGAAAAAAAACTATGGTATCGCCAGTTTTACTTTGCTATGAATTATGCTATAATAGAATCTATATTTTAGACTTTTAGAAACCTTAGAATCACTCATTGTGGACGTGAGATACCAATATTTTTTCTCTTATCTGTTTAAGTTCCTCATCCTTAGATTTTGTATGCGCAAAAAATGTTTCAACTTTTAAGTTACTCATCGTGGATTTATGCGCCAAAAAGAGTGTCATGGTAAATGGAAGGCAGTAAAAATGTTTTTAATGTAAAGATCTTGGGAGATTGTTAGTATGTTAATTATAAATGGGACAAAATATATTTTTGTCACTTTTGGTTCTTGAAATTTCAAAAGGATGTCGTATGAAAACACTAATTCACACCTCAAGTGAATTTCAGAGATAATTTTCTTTTTCAAATGACCCCAAAATTCTCAATCTATATACAGCGAAGAAATTATGTATCACATAAAACTATATATTATAGATAAAATGGTTATGTACTCCACAGTTTTATTAGTGGAATATAGTAAGAAGATGGATACCGTTATATGAAACTCCATTGTACTTTAGTTTCTAAAATTTGAGAAATTGTTCCAAATGATTTAGATAGTCTTTCGGATCATATATGGTCCCGGTTAAAAGTAAAAGTTGGAAAATGATTCTTACCATCAATTTTTAACTCAAGGATCCTAGAACTATATTTTGTCAGAAACTATAAGTATATACTGTCCTTATAAATTACCTCTAAAGTCTCCCTTACGTCTCATTCTCTCCCTAATTCACTATTTACTTCTCTTAAAACTTAAAGACAGAGAATTGTTTCCCATCAAGACCTTACATAATTTAAAATTCTTGTATTTTTTAATATTATAAAAATACTTTATATATTATATTTATTTTCATTTTAAAAGTAATTTCCAAAAAAAAAAAAGCTATTTTTAAAAAGTAAATAAAGAATGGACCATAACCCTCATTTAGTTGGCCATATGTGTGGAACTATGAATGGTTTAGATTTTAATGGGAAAAAAAA